TCTTTGGATTCTTCCGTGCCAGCATTTTGAAACTGCCTTCTTATTTTGAACTTCATGTTTCCATTTTGGATTTTGCGTGTTTGGATTCTTCCGTGCCAGCATTTTGAAACTGCCTTCTTATTTTGAACTTCATGTTTCCATTTTGGATTTTGCGTGTTTGGAGTCTTTCGTGCCAGCATTTTGAAACTGCTTATTTTGACCTTCATTTTCACATTTTAATAAGTAAGTAAGTAAGTAAGTAGCTTTACATTTTGGATTTTGCGGGATTATTCCGTGCCAGCATTTTGAAACTGTCATTTTGAACTTCATTTTCCCATTTTGGATTTTGCGCGTTTGGATTCTTCCGTGCCAGCATTTTGAAACTGTTTATTTTGACCTTCATTTTCACATTTTGGATTTTGCGTGTTTGGATTCTTCCGTGCCAGCATTTTGAAACTGCTCTTTCTGTGATCGTCTGAACCGGAAGAACGGCCAGCTAGGTGAGTTGTTACTTTCTTTACTTATCCAGACATCCAGAAACAAGGTGTAATTGTGTACATGACACTAACATATGTAATTTTTCCTTTTCAGTAGAGTCCACTGGTTAATGTTACTCGGTGGACCGTGAGGAAAGTAAAATAGAAATCGTCTTAAACTGATATGCATTCTCGTGTAGCCTGAAATATTCCAGCCAGGCCATTTGCTTGGACATGGACTAATTCTAATTGGCACTCAATTTTGGTAACCTTGACGCTCATCCTGACATGCCCACCAACAGCTTGGACAAGGTTGGTGGTTGTGAGCAGGATGACGTCCCAAATTTCCTCGGCAATGGAGGTACACCTTGACGTGGTGCTGGGGCTTTTGCTAAGATGCCTCCCTCAAAATCAAGTAAGGCTAACACGTTAAGCTGTGGTCTACTACAAAGGAGGGGACGGTCTTGCAAGGATTGGACTGCTGACTCAGAGGTATTCCCAACACTCGTTGGTGAAGGTGAGACATCCAAGTAATAAGATACGCCAAAACCAGTTACTCAAGCATTTGGATTTGATTTTGAAATGCAGTCTCTCGATGAGGGGGTGTTTTCAAAATCACCTTGAATATACTAGGCTAGATGTAAATAAAACTAGTAAGGACATTGTGTGCTCTCCAAACAGAGGATTGGGTTTGGGGTTATTTTTGGCGTGTTTTTAGGCTTTTTTAACTGGCTTTCTTTCTTGCACTGGAATTTTTTTTCACAATGACTAAACACACGCCGAAAATTATCCCAAACCCAAACCTCTGCTTGAAGAGTAGACATTGTGTAGTTGCTAGTAAGTAGGCTGAAAGTTCGTTCTGACATGAACCACGTTTTCCACGTCGGGATCGGAGAGTTACGACCTGTGCCCGTCTGCCGTGGCGCCACCAAACTGGCCCGGCCCCACACACACGGGTCTGTTGGGAACGGTCGGGTTACACAGCTGGCCACAGACGGGAGACCTGTAGCCTGGGTAACGGGCTGTTTCGAGGGCTTTAATTTCAGTACTTCAGCCTCGGCTCTCGGGCCTTTCCAGGCCAGCTCCTTTTCTCCTTGGCTAGTGGGCCAACATGTTTTAAGGAAATTTTACTGAAATTCAGGAAGGTTTGTAGTATGCGATTTCCTTGGGAGCATGTTGTGCCTGGAGTTGAGGAGTTGGCCTGGTGTGTGTACTAGCCTCAGGAAACAGCCTGGTGTCCAGACTAACAGACTGACAGTTGACAGTCTCCAAACGGTGTGTGCGGAGGGGGTCGTGAGGAGGGCGGAGGGAAAGGGGGAGGGTGTAGTATGATGTCATTAATCACCTGAAAGGTCTGGTCGTCTTCCAACATTCAGCAGGAATAGAAACGCGGTGCGAAGGAATGTCATCACATCAATTTTCCACTTAATTCAGGCGCCTGCGCTGACTTCTTCTGGGATGGGCTAGATATCTATCGTTCGTTCGTCAGTTTGTTTGTTCGTTCGTCTGTCAATTCGTTCGCCAGCCTCATCGATAGCGTTCGATCGTTCGTTGTTTTTTTTTTAAACTCTGGAAACGTAGAAGTAGACAAGTTTATGAAAGTTCATCTGTGTTAATTTTTTATTGCTAATTCTTATTTTCGTAAATAAGAGGTTGCCAAACTGTAGGCGGCGAGGTCTTTTCTTACCAGAGTCAAAGTTGTACATTCTTTTTACCAGCTAACTTGTCATCGTTTCTAAACTCAAGAACTAGAAGTAGACAAGTGACTCAAATGATGTTTTTACATTGCCAAGTCTTTTCGTAAATGAGAGGTTGCCAAATTGCAAACTTTGAAGGCGAGGTCTTCTTTACCAGCTAATTTCTTTTGAAAGCTGTGCATTCTTTTTACATTTTTAAACTTATCTCCTTTTCGCCAATAAGGCTTTTAAATGTTTTATATTGACAGTTCTTCTTTTCGTAAATGAGAGGTTGCCAAATTTTACAACCTTTGTAGGCGACAAGATCTTCAAGTTGTACCAGCTAACTTGTCCGTGGCGTACAGAAATAGCCTGGTGTTACACAAGCTCTACGGGAACAACAATCTTCTGGGACAGGCGACCGCAAGTCAGGCTAGTACAGAACTGACAGAGTCCAGTCTCCTCAGGATTAGGAGGAGGGGTTTATGAGTCGTTAATCACCAGTGGAACTACACAGTAACGATGTCAGGATCAGCCGGGCAGCGATCACATCAACTGATTACATTCCTACAGACAGAAACTGATAGATACTGATAGATACGGGCACTCTCGATTGTAGTTTTATTGTTTTGATGTATACATAGTGGAAACTGAGTGTAGCAGGAGTTTGCTTTCGTCCACTCCCCAAGATCCGTTACCGGCCAAAGAAGAGGAGTCCCCGAGGCTAGTTCTGTTGAAACCTTTGCCTCGCGCCTTGACAGCCGCCTGGCACCCAGGCTACTTCTGTAGAGCCATGTATACGAACCCTGCCACGGACCTGGCTGGCATTGTACACTGGCTATTAAAGCTTGCATTGGTGGGCTGTGCCTGACGCCAAGGCTATTCCCTGTAGAACCAAACCTGTGTGTCGCCCTGCCAGTGGCCTGGCACCCAGGCTAGTCTTCACGGTAGAAACAAACCTGTGAAGAGGCCCTGCTAGCGGCCTGGCGACCAGGCTAATCCTGTACAAATCCTGGCACCCAGGCTGCTTCTGTAGAGCCATGTATACGAGCCATGCCACGGGCCTGGCTGGCCTTGAACAAACCCGTGTACTCGCTAAGCTTCGGTGCGCTGACACCAAGGCTATTCCCTGTGTCGCCCTGCCAGTGGCCTGGCACCTAGGCTATCCCCTGTAGAAGTCGGTCCGTTTCTCGTCCGTCAGCGGCTCCAAGGCCGGCCGTTTCCCGCCATTCCTGAGATAGTTGTGAGGGGCGGCGGACATCCCGGCACATGCCTACACTGGGCATTGTTCTGTCAGATACAATAATAGATCTAGATATAGGTAGGTACCATTCTTTAACCTCGATAGTAGCCAGCTGCCGCCGCGCCGCGTGCCTACGAAGCCGGTGTGTTACGCCGAAGGGCGGCGGACATCCTCACAAACGCCGGCAGTGGGTCCGGTCAACTACAGAAAATGCGCCAATTACGCTCTACGTTGTATTAGATCCGTCTACACTCTAAGTAGAATTACGCTCTACGGAAAAGGTGTGTCAAGGTCTGTGTCGCGTCATCGCGTCATTTTCCCGTCAGGCCGTCAGCAGGGCGAACAAAACGCGTCATGACGATTCCCAGACTACCAAACGTTTCCGTAACAGGTTATAGGTCACCGGAACGCGCGATTTTTAAAGCCAAGGACATTATCAGTTCAGTTCAGTTCAGTTTACTAGTACTATCCCTCTGAACATATTATTCTGTATAAATTGTCCTTGGTTGAGCCAAATCCTTGCACGAGCTGCCACATACTCGAGAGGTCAGGTGTTTAGAGCTAGGGCTAGGGTTAGAGTTTGGATCATTGTTCAGGATTAGGGTTAGAATTTACGATTAGGGTTAGGTTAGGTTTAGTCTCCCACATCACGACTAAACCCGTCCCACCCCTTTTCTCAGGTATACTTGAAAACCCAAAGTAGTGTCGGAGTCATGTATTTGGCAGGGTCATGTATATCGCTGTATATCATTTATTCATCCTGCAAAGTAGTCTGGTGGAGACCAGGCGAGGACATGATATGTTTGCCCACTTCTGCCACGGTTTATATAAGATCTTAATCTATGATGGTTGACCTTTCTTGACCCCTACCGAAATGCCTCTTTAAGAACCTTACAAGAAACTCCAGACGCCTTGGAGACGCTCGCCAGAAACGGGACTTAAAGATGGTTGTAAGAAGAAACAAGACGACTTGCAGCTGTGGGATGTTTCTACACGCTACATCTGTGGAACACACAACATCTTATCTACAAGCTTTTCTAGCCTCTACCACTACCAGGCTTCGGGAGGCGGCTGGACTCGGAGTAGATTCGGTAGAAATTGGCCAAATAGAGAGAGATAACATGTCGAGGGAGTCGGTAGTCTCTACCCGGCTTCGGGTGGCGGCTGGAAATAGTAGAAATTGGCCAAATCGTAGAGAGAGAGATAACATGCCTAGGGAGTAAGTCTGCTGGAGAGAACAGTTTGCCAACTCCCACAACATGTTATCTCTCTATTTGGCCGATTTCTACTCTTTCCAGACACCTCCCGAAGCCTGGTAGAGGCTACACCACCTTATCTCCAGGCTTTGCAACACACTGAGTTTTCTAAGATGTTTATCGTCGGCTCTTGACCTTTCGTGACCCGGTCTCTGATTGGTGACTCCTGCCGGGTTGACAAATTGCCGTCGACTGCGCGTGCGCTCGAGAAGTTGGGTCGCGGTCCAAACTGAGAAGTTGTGAGTAACCCCGCTGCCGACCCCGTTAGGTTTACCGTGCCTTCCTCCCCGCCTCCCTCGGTGCCCCTCGCCCTCTCCCCCCACCCACTGTCCTGATCGTTCCCGGTACGGACTCGGAAGCACACCCGAGCAGACAGGCTGACTCTCCCGGGACACAACACCACGTCTCCCCGACAGAGGAAGCAACAAGCTCCGGTAAGTTCAGCCGAAGTTTTCACGGGAATTTTAACTCATTCTTTCCTAGAACTATCGCAGAGTAGAACTCTGTCATGTCACCAAGTACAGTAGGGGCGTTAGCTTTAAACATGGAGGTATAAGTTGTGCCCTTCTACTTCCATGCCTTAATGTTTAGAGTCAAGGGTTAGGTGTAACAAGTCGTTCGGTGTAAGCCGCCGCGCCGCGTGCCTGCGAAGCTGGTGTGTTACGCCGAAGGTCTGTTATGCCGGTTATACAGATACAGAAGCTGGTGTGTTACGCCGAAGGGCGGTTATGCCGGCTATACAGATACAGAAGCTGGTGTGTTACGCCGAAGGGCGGTTATATATACCGGCTATACAGATACAGAAGCTGGTGTGTTACGCCGAAGGGCGGTTATACAGATACAGAAGCTGGTATGATACAGAAGCTGGTGTGTTACGCCGAAGGGCGGTTATACAGATACAGATACAGAAGCTGGTTTGTTACGCCGAAGGGCGGCTATACAGATACAGATATATAACATGTTGGTTTTTCAAGGGCCCTTGTGCTAACTTTCGCCCATAAGAAAAGAATTACACTCCTGTATGTAAACACTGATCCGTCAGGCCCCGATTAACCACGCCGATTTATCGTAGCACGATCTCCAATTTGGGGGCATTCTTGGGTTAGATCTAGCCGTGCATGTGGTCATATGTTCTGCAAAATAATGTCTGCGGTCTTGTCAGAAAAACTTGTCAAGGATTGGTTCTGTCACAACTTGCTTGGAATCAGAATTGCACGAGAAAATTATGTGACCGTGCCGTTTGCCCATACTAGTCGTAATATTTAGTCGCTTATGTTTATTAGTCAAAGAAATAATAATAATAATAATAGTATACAAAGGAAATGATGAAGACAACGTGGCGGCATACTCAAGTTGTTCACAACTTATATTCTAGCCGCCACTTGTATATTGAAAATGAAATGTCAAGTCACTAAAAATACAATACACATATAGCTTTGGGAAACGTTATTCCGACCACCTCCCCCTACGGAAGAAAGTATGAAGAACACAGGCAACTAAAACGTTTTGTTGCTATGAATTCCTGTGTGGCCAAGATAATTCTGCAGTCGTAGACTTATCTGTATGGAGTGTGTGTGAAAAGTGTTTTTTTTTTCTGCACGCGATGATTTCATCATAACAACATACCGGTCATGTACTCTCCAGCGGACCAACTCCCCCGGCATGCTATCTCTCTATTTGGCCAATTTCCACTCCTTCCAGCCACCTCCCGAAGGCTGGTAGAGGCTACAGTCGCAAACGTGTTTGTATGCTGAGTGTGTGAAAAAGTGTGTTTTTTTCTGCACGCGAAGATTTTATCATGACATCAACACGACTGACTCGGTTCCCGTCAGCACTTTTGTTATTTCCCGGAAAGGGTCATGTAGAGGTCAGGTTCACGGTTACTTCCTTGTGAGTCATGCCTGGCTGGTGATGTAGCACGATTCTGGGGAAGAAGCAGAGAACAGGAGAAAAACAGCATGTACGTTCTAGGGAGTATGAACAAAATAGGTATCAAAGATGGAACATGCTAGTTTTGGACCTTGATTGACCTAAAAAGCAGTTACTAGTTAGTTTGGTGGCTGCAAAGACAGTATTGTTTAGGGAAGGCAGTATAATTGTAGTTAGGCCATACTGCGTATAGAACACAGAACATGTTACTTTTTCTTCTGTCTGTGGAACAACACGCACTTTGGACAGAACATCACATACAGAAACATGTGTCCGTATGTGGCTCTTCAGGCCCAGAGTCCGGCCGCTGATGCAAAGAATTTCTGCCCAGCCTTGTTTATCATAACTCCCGCCCCCGTGTTACCCCCACTTTTAAACCTGATATATACCGGCTGTAAACGTGTTTGCATGAGCTACAAGCTACCATAGTACTACGAATACAGTACAGTAGACGTGTTAAGTTCGAATGTTCGAATGCTCTGTTGTACGAATATTCGAACGTACGGAACGCTTTCGAATACGCGAATGTTCGAATCGAAATTACGTGCGAATGTTAGAATGTGTTCGGATGTTCGAATGTTCTTTCTTGTTCATGTATAAAGCCGTCTACATGTAAGTTGCTACCGTATAGAGTGCAGTAGTGTTTGGCCAGCCAAATCCTACGCATGTATGCATATACTAGGCTTTTTGCTGACAGCACATCTTTTCAGTCACCCTATGTTTCCGATCACTTGAGCGAACTTCACGATGATGGAAACAAACTCCGTATAAACTTCTCGGGGTGAGCGAATAGACCCAGGCGGGCTTGTAACACTCCCAGTACCCGTAGAGATGCCCTTTAGCTCCCGATGTGGCCGTTCCGAGGCTATCACGGCCTGGTTCTGGTTCCTTGTTCCCGTGTCCATCTGTTTCTCGTCAGGCGATGGCAGTTGCAGTTTTGTTGGTGATCCGTGCCGAGCTAGGATATGTTTGTGTAGCCCGTGTTTCAGGGGAGCTCCGTGCGGCTACTGTACAGCCGGCCAGCGCTAAAATATTAAACCCATGCAGAGAACTAACTACATATGGCTCTTATCATAACTAAAATCACAAATAAAATGTATGAAAGAATTTGAGATGCAGTTTTGTTGCTGATCCGTGCAGAGCTATGATATGTTTGTGTAAGCCCGTGTTTCAGGGGAGCTCCGTGCAGCTACTGTACAGCCGGCCTGGCCTCTACCAGGCTTCGGGGGGTGGCTGGAGAGAGTAGAAATCATGATGTCAAATAGAGAGATAACATGCCGAGAGAGTTCGTCTGCGGGAGAGAACATTTTGACGCACCCGAAATATTCTCTCCAGCAGACGAACTCCCTCGGTATGTTATCTCTCTATTTGACCGATTTCCACTCTATCCAGCCGCCTCCCGAAGCCTGGCAGAGGCTAGTGAGTGATGGCCACTCACACCACAGGTAGCCTGCTAGCAGGAGCATATCATATAGGCTAAATACAACTCAACAGTTTTAACCAACATGCACACAGGATAACTTTGAGCCCAGTTTGCTGTGGGCCTGGTACCCAGGCTACTGTACAGCCGGCTGGAGCTGAGATAACCCAGAGAACTTTCCTACCTCCTGCTGTTCTCCAGATGGTTCTTATCTGTTCTCATTGGCAACAATCATAAATAAAATGTATGAAAGAATATGAGATGTTGTATCGTTTGCAGTGCTATGGGCCAAAGTCGCTACCGCACAATTTTTACCCCACCTGAATACCGCTTGTGTTGTCAGACTTCTCACACATGATGTACATGACTTGTACATGCTTGTATGTACAGATTCTCATATGTAGAGACTCTCTTCCTCTGTCCATCTGGTTCTTGTCTGTATCAAGTAGAAGCTCCTTGGTTCTATATAGGAAGTTTTATTACAGGTTTGTACATAGCTGTAGCTCGTATACAAGTATATCCCATGTTGATTATGTTCTGTACTTTAGTTCTGGTTCAGTCCCCGGGCCAGCCTGTTGCAGATTGCAAGTTCTTCTCCTCTCTCCATCTGTGCCTTATCTGTTCTTGAAAGTTTTGTTTTATTACAGGTTTGTACGTGACTGTTGTACATACTTTATAGATGTACGGGTAGCCTCGTCCTTCCTAGAGTCCCATTAAAAATGATTAAGGCGCCATTTCCCATGAGTAACCCGCCGACGCCTGAGAGTCGCCTGTTGACTCTCCGCGCCGTAAACACGGAGTCTGTTTGTCCCTCTACAGGACTCAGGAGTCATAAATCGTCATATCAACACCGGGCAGCCGCCTAGCGTATCCAGAACTGTGCCTACCTAGTTCCAGTCTATCATGGTTGGGACCTAGCCTCTACCAGGCTTCGGGAGGCGGCTAAAGAGTAGAAATCGGCCAAATAGAGAGATAACAAGCCGGGGGAGTTGGTCTGTTGAAGCCGCAAAATGTTCTCTACAGCGGACCAACTCCCTCGGCTTGTCACCTCTCTACTTGACCGATTTCTAGTAAATTCTACTATTTCCAGCCTGGTAGAGGGGCTAGTTGGGGCGGGTTTTCTTCGGGGCTGCTGAAGCTCTTCCCCGCCTGTTGACTCGATCGCAGTGCAGTAAGCACGGAGTCTGTTTGTCACACACTAGAGTCGTAAATCCCTCCGGCCGTCAGCACACCAGCACAAGGCAAATATCAACCTGTTTTTATGTCAGCAACGCGAAGCTGCCGGTTTTGCACAGTAGAACCAGATTGAACCGGTTTGACGTCTTCTCTTGGTAGCTGACCTCTAATATAAAATGTTCGGTCTGACCAAGAAACCTTGGTCTGACTTGTTTTTCGCGTGTTTTTTTTTCCCTACATTTGCTCCCTACATCTTCTTGGGGCTCCTACATTTGCTTGGTAGCCCCGGCAAGTATGTGAGAACTCTGTAGGGCCCATGTTCACACCCGGTCGACTTCGCTTGGATCCCCCAGTAGCCCCGGCAAGTATGTGAGAACTCACCAGGGCTTGTTCGCACCCCGTTGGCGGCCCGCCCCTCCCCGGCTACCGGGAATTGTTCGCTCCCTGTATCTGCTTGAGTCCTCAGTAGCCGCAGCAAGTATGTGAGAACTCGGCCTGAACGCGGCGGACTTGTTCGCACCCCGTTGGCGGCCCGCCCCTCCCGGCTACCGGGCTACGCGCCTCCTGAGCCCCCGTCGCGCGCCTTGCAGCCAGAGGCCCGCCCTACTTCCACGGGCTTACCCAAACAAACCCGCTAACGGCCCGCCTTCTCGCCTTACGGACGGCACCGGCCGCTGGATAGCCTCTACCAGGCTTCGGGAGGCGGCTGGAAATGGTAGAAGTCGGCCAAATAGAGAGATAGCATACTAGGGGAGTTGGTCTGCTGGAGCGGCAAACTGTTCTCTCCACCAGACCAACTCCCCCGGCATACTATCTCAATATTTGGCCGATTTCTACTCCAGTCGCCCCCTGATGCCTGGTAGAGGCTACCCGCCTCCCGAAGCCTGGTAGAGGCTAGATGGTAGCCTCCCGAGGCCTAGTAGAGGCTAGCCGCTGGTAGAATCTCGCCTTACCGCCTGCCTGCCGCTGGTAGCAGCGATGTTGTTCTTCTCTTGACCCCTGCTGACCCGGAACAGACAAGAACCAGATGGGAGGAGGAGGAACTTGGAATCAGCAACAGACTGGCCCGTGGCGCGTGGCCCAGGCATGCAAAGACTGAACAAGAACCACACAAGAGCATCATCAACATGTGATAAACCCGTACTACAGTCATATACAAATCTGCAATGAAATAAAAACTTTATAGAACAGACAAGAACCAGATGGAAGGAGGAGAAACTTGTAATCAGCAACAGGCTGGGCTGCAGTCACGTAGATATCTGTAATAAACTATTAAAACAGAAACTTTCTAGAACAGACAAGGCCTAGGGTAATCTCCAAGGCGAAGCAGATCATACGGTGGCAAGGTAGTATCCATTGACCAGAGGAGTGTCCATGATTACTAGCCACGTACTATCCTGGCCAATGGATGCTGCCTTGCCACCGTATGATATGCTTGGACTAGACACAAGAGCACAATGTATAACTTTGAGCCTAGTGTGCTAAGGATCTGGCACCCAGGTTACAAGATTACCAATTTTATCCTGACTCAGTTTTACTGTTTTCCGTATCGCCAAACCATCTGTCGAGCCGCGTGCCAAGTACGGGTCATGTTTTCCTCGTTTCAGCAACATTTCCGTCGCTTTTTCCTTGTTCCTCTTTTTAATTCCCAGACTGAACCTGATGTAGTCATCCAATTTCTTGGCAAATGAAAACTGCCTTGCAAGGAGGTAAAATCATCAAGATTTTTAACTTCCTGCATATCAAATGGATACTACCTGGTCAATTTGACAGTATCACACTGTCTTGCAGCCGCCAAAAGGCTTGGACTATAGTTGGAGATGAAGGTTTCTAGCAGGGCGTCAGGTGGAGTAGTTGTTAGTTTGACTAGACGTGTGGCGAGGGCGGGCAGCCGTCCTGAACACCAGCTGTTTTATTACGCAGTAAATCCCCAGGTTAGGCCCGTATGCTGTGCTGTGTTGGTTTGGTATATGTAAGTACAAGCTGCGTAAGACCATGACTGTAAGGTTTGAACCACTCACAACGGGATGGTCCCCTACGTGCGTGGGGTGTGGCTCACGGGACTTCCATTCAACGTCCTATCCGAGGGACGTCCCTAACCAAAACTAGGTAGTGAAGTGAGGGAAGTCGTGTAAAGTACCTTTCCCAAGGGCACAGGTTCGGTGGCATCGGGCAGGATTCGAACCCGGGACCTCTTGGGTCTGAATCAAACACTCTCCTGTTACTCCACACGATCCCCTTTATGAGAGTTTATGAGACGAAAATTAACTTCAGCTCCTCTCGTGTCGCCCCGAAACCCACCTTACACTCGCGGTTATCTCAGCATCACGCAGATAATCGCCGTTTTATGGACTGGAGTTATTCAGTCAATACTTGGACAGTCAACAACCCGCCAAACAACCGGCAAATAACCGGCAAATAACCCTGGGCTGACCTCGCGTGAACTGGCGCGGAGGTAGCCTCTACCAGGCTTCGGAAGGCGGCGGGAAAGAGTAGAAATTTGGCCAAATAGAGAGATAACATACCGGGGGAGTTTGTCCGTTTAATAGATAGAGAATACATTTTACCGCACCCGAATAGCCTGTAATCTATCCCTACGACCTATTTGACAGTTCTAGTACTAGTACTAGTAGTGAGTACTATACTAGAACCGGCAGATATCTTGTAGGGATGGATTCCAGGCTAGCACCCGAAGGTTAGTGACCTGGTACGGAGGGAGGGTCTCTTGTGTATCTACGGGCACTTTATTAAAATTCTACAGCCTAGTACTCCCCAGGGATAACGAAGTCCTAGTAATGTGTTATGGGTCTGGCATCCAGGCTAGGACAAGTTGTGTAACTCTGTACTCTGAAGAGAAGTGCACAGAAGCTCCGGGCTGCCCAGGGGCCGCAGCTGGTCCGTGTTACGGCCGCAGGTAAGCAACCCCGCACGTTCTATCGCCTGACAGCCGCTCCTAGCCTCTACCAGGCTTCGGGAGGCGGCTGGAATGAGTAGAAATCGGTCAAATAGAGAGATAGCATGCCAGGACTCGGCAGGAGAGTTGGTCTGCTGGAGAGTACAGTTCGGGTGCGACAAACTGTTCTCTCCAGCAGACCAACTCCCCCGGCATGTTATCTCTGTATTTGGCCGATTTCTACTCCTTCCAGTCGCCTTCCGAAGCCTGGTAGTGTAACTCTGTACAAAAGTGCACAGAAGCTCCGAGCTGCTTGTGAGGCACAGCTGTGGCGTGTTACGACGGGGTCACGCAGGTACTGGGGTAAACACGCCGGTACAACCCCGCACATCATACCGCCTGTCAGCCACACCCTGAAGCCTGGTAGAGGCTACCTAAGCCTGGTAGAGGCTACATGTTGTGTAGAGAAGTGCACAGAAGCTCCGTGAGGCACAGCTGGGTCGTGTTACGGCGGGATCGGGCAGGTCGCAGGTAAGCACGCCGGGACAGCCCCGCACATCAACCCGCCTGTCAGCCGCCCAAGGTCCGCCCGCAGCTTGGAATCCGCACCGGGCGTGAAGGAACGCGCCCGACATGACAGGAACTAGTGATCGCCTCCACAAGAACGCGGGCTGAGGGTGAATAATTTGCCCTAGTAGTTTGACCAGCATAGAGTTAGTTTGGGAAAATGTTATCCTTACCGAGGCTCTCTTACTTTAGGAAGGCCATGTGCAGGTTACTGTGTTTTTGCTGAATCTTACTATCCATAACCCCTCAGGAAGGCATTGTGCTGGCTTCAATTTTTTGCTACATCTTAGTTTTACTATGATACGTTTATATAGGGGGCTCTGGATGAGACTAGCCTCCAACAGGCCTTCCAAAGGGAAAAGTAGCAAAAGTAGGGTAACTTAAAGACGAACCGTTTTCTGTGGCGAAACGTTTCGTACCGTTTCGAACGGTATACCGTTTCTAGATCGGGCCTAACTGTAAATTGTAATGCAGACCAGTACTCCACCACCAACCCTCTCCCCTCCCCATGGGGTTTGATGGATTGCTTGTTATGACGAGCCCTGTCTGTGTGATGAATAGTGTTTAACATTGCAGAGCTTCTGTAGATGGTGATGATTAAGGG